AAACTTAGAAACTTTGTGTCACATTAAAGTTTTTTAAAAAAGGTAGTATTTTTTTTTTTAAATACAACCTCAGAAGCTAACCTTATTTAGGAAAAAAATTTTATTCTATGGACAAAAGAATATTTAGTAGTGATAATAATTACAACTATCATTTTTTAATTACCTATTATGGGCCAGCATTTTATACATATAATGTATAATTTTTAACCACAGTTCCACAAGTAGATATCCACAAGTGGATAGCACTTTATAAATGATGAAACTGAAATTCATAGAAGTTCTATTTCTATTTCCCTTGAAAACACTGGGAAAATTTTCCTCCTACACAAACAAATGGAAATGCAGAACAAAATATAATTTGAAAAATGTTTTTAAATGCCTCACGAATGAGCTGTAGAGCAAGATAAAAGAAACTTTTAGGGGTCTGAATCAGAGTAGGAGATAATGGTGAGTGAGAGCTGAAGCACCACGGCCTATATTTGAAGACATGGTGCTTGATAAATCACCCAAAACTGGCTCCCTGTGGGAAGTCTGCTTAAAACAGATTTTCTTGGGGTGTCTGGGTGGCCCAGTTAGTTAAGTGACTGCTTTCAGCTCAGGTCATGATCCCGGAGTCCTGGGATTGAGCCCCGCATCAGGCTCCCTGCTCAGCAGGGGAGTCTGCTTCTCCTCTCCCTCTGCTCATTCCCTCCCTCCCTCCCTCTCTCTCTTTCAATAAATAAATAAAATCTTCTAAAAAACACAACAACAGATTTGCTTATTTCCCCCCTGGGAGACGAATGTTCAAATCAGACATTTGTCACAAGTTCTAGTCTCCACTATCCTAAATGAAGATTTTGTATCTTCTCTTTCCTTAAATCTTTCATACCCTTTTCCCCCAGTCCAAGCACTTCACCTTCCTCATACTTCATTGCGAAAATAGAAGTTATCAAACAGGCCCCACCTCACCCTTCCATCACCAGTCTAAAATATGCACCAGCATAGTCCAAGATGGCAGAGGAGTAGGAGACCTTAGTTTTGTCTGGTCCCAGGAATTCAGCTAGATAGCTGTCAAATCATTCTGACACCTGTGAACTCAACTGGAGATCTGAGAAAAGAATTGCTGCAATTCTACAAATAGATAAGCGCCAAAGGTAAGAAGCGTGGAGAAGTGAATCCAAGGTGATATGTCATCAGAAGATAAACCACGGGGAGAGGGAGCCTCCAAAAGCTGGCACCAGAAAGTGATAGAGCAGCAGAGCACAAAATCAGAACTTTTAGAAGTCTGCTCTGGTGAGGGACGTCCCTGCCTGAAAGGTGCTCAGGTGGCAAAGCAGGCATAATCCTAGGTGGGACGGTGTGGTCTCAGGATCCCTGAAGCAGAGCTCCCAGGCATTGAAGCAGGAAAGCTGGCTGCAATCAGCAAGCCCAGGAGCGGGATCTCAGCTCAGGGTTGCCATATAATGCAAATTGGGGAACAGTTGGGTGACTGCTCTCGAAGCAGGGGCCCAGGGAGCAGCAGAACAGTGGTAAGACCCCCACCCCCATCCCTCCCTAGGAGGAGCGGTGCAGGTGTGCACCTCAGGAGCCTGCAGGGTTTGGAGACTTGAAATGCGGTTGTGTGCCTGAGATAGAAACACTTGGTCACAGGTTGGGTGAGTGCAGAGTGTGGACGGAGGCCAAGGAGACAGGAGTGACTGACTGCTTTTCTCTGCAGGTGCATTGAGGAGTGGGGTCCCAAGCTCTGGGCTCTGGGTCTGGATATTGGGAGGCCACCATTTTCATTCTCATCCTCTAAAGTGGCACCAAAAGCCTTCAGGGAACAAAGGCCACATAGAGCAATCCAGAGCCGCTTACTTAGCCTGGCCTCCTGGCAAAGGTGGTGCAATTCCATCCAGGTAAAATACTTGAGAATCAATGCAACAGGCCCCTCCCCCAGAAGATCAGCAAGAACATCCAGCTAAGACCAAGTTTACCAATCATAGAGAACTGCAAAACTCCAGCGATAGGGAAAAATAGTATATAGAATTTATGGTTTTTTCCCGATTCTTTAGTCTTTCAATTTTAATTATTTTTTTCTCTTTCCTTTTTCAACCATTTTCTTATTTCATCAGCTCTTTTTTAAAAATCTCTTTTAATTTTCATTTTTACAGTTACATTCTATCCTTTCTATTTAATTTTATTTTTGTGTATGTATGAGTTTTTCTTTCTTTATAATTTTGGGATTCAATTTCTTCTAACAAACAGAATCTAGTGTATGGCTCTCTTCTCTTTACCTGTCGGATCATATTTTCTCTTTTTTTCTTCTTTTGTTTTTTTTGTTGTTGCTTGTTAAAGTCTTTTTTAATTTTCATCTTTACAATTACAATCTATCCTTTCAATATTTAATTTTATTTTTGTATATATGTAAGTTTTTCTTTCTTTACAAATTTGAGATGCAGTTTCTTCTAACAGACCACAATACACTCAGGATATAGTGTATTGTTCTGTTCTGTTCACCTATCTCTTTATATTCCTTTTCTTTCTTTCTTTCTTTCTTTCTTTCTTCCTTTCTTTCTTTCTTTCTTTCTTTCTTTCTTTCTTCTTTCCTTCCTTCCTTCGTTTCTTTCTTTCTTTCTTTCTTTCTGTCTTTTAATTTTCATTTTTACAGTTACATTCTATCCTTTCATTGTATTTAATTTTATTTTTGTACATATATGTTTTTCTTTCTTTACAATTTTGGGATTTAATTTTCTAACAAACAGACCAAAATACACACAGAATCAAGTGTATTGCTCTGTTCTGTTCACCTGTCTGATTATATTCTGCCAGAGTCCAGCTCCAGCCCGGGTGGGTCTCTCATAGGAAAGGACAGCGTCAGCGAATGAGGAGACACAGACACAGGATCAGGTTGCAAGCATCTCCTCCTGACAGCCTCGGAGGAACTTTATTTATATGTTAGGATATTTTTGTTTTTCCAAATCTTAGATCATTTTCTGGATTACAGCCATAACCTTCTTTCATTTTTCCTTTGTAATGATTAACATGACCTTTATTGATTTCTGCTTATTGGCTTTTGCTAAAACTAAAAAACAGTATGCAAAGAGAAAGGTGCTAGACAGAGTGTGACCGTCTTGTTATTTTGTTCTATAGAAACTAATTCTTTGTGGAATTAGTTTCATTATGATTGCTTAGATAGGCATAATTAAGATGAGTAGTCACTTTATCATGAAACCCCAGAAATATTCCCATAATTATATAGATTGCCATAAATAAAATGAAAAAGAATAGCAGGAGCCAGCCCAGAAATATTCCCATAATTATAAAGATTGCCATAAACAAAATGAAAGAGAACAGCAGGAGCCAGCTGTGGAGTCTCCTGTTTTCAGGATTGTCCCCCATACTTGGACTTTGTCAAACAGCATGAATAGCTTGGCTCGTGCCATCTCCCCCTTTTTTATTTTTGGCCTTCAGTTGCAAAGTCTTCAATTCCAAATGAATTTGTTTTCTTCCTCTACTTAGTAATTTGATGAAGACTGGAAAGAGAAACAAAAGGGAGATAATAATTAGTGCTGATATACCTAGATTGATGAAGGATGGAAACCAGGCAGTAGTGGAGGTGTATTTCTGCAAAGTGGCAAGAAAGGAATCTGCAACTTCTGAGGCTGTGGCTGAGGACACATGTGCCAAACTAATGTCTCTAATTTTTTTCTTGTAAAGAGTTTAAGTCCAAGGATACATTATCATTGCTCCATATTCCCAATAGGTGATTTTTGATGTTGTCCCAAGGGACAGGTGAGGAATCATAATGGTGGGGAGTGACACAGATCCATTTATATTGTGCATGGCATCTAGTGGTTAACCGAGTTTTGAGATTTTGAATTTGATTTCCTACATATAATATAGTTTCTTCTAGAACATTTAATAGGGCCTCAAACTTCTTATCTATTTGTTCCTGCAAATAAAGTGCAGTTGAAATATTCTGGGCTAATCTATCCACATGATGTGCAGTATGTATTTCCTGTACTAAAGCAGTTGTAGATATAGCAAAAGAACTTATGATTCCTATAAGAGCAGTAATACCTAATATAAGTGCTGCAATAAATCTCTTAGGGCGGCATAAGGCTTTATCTACAAGTTGAATCGTATACATGCCAGGATCATCATACCAATGTTCTTCTAATTTTACAGGTAACACTACATAAGGAGGTTGATGAACAACTATAAAGACAGTTGGTCCAACAGTTGGATCAATGCAATTAGTTAATATACATTTTGAACAGGATACATAATATGTATGATTAATCTTGTTTACCTGTAATTGGCCATGACCTCGCACCAAGAGAGCATGAGGGGGACCCACACATGCCATGACCACCTCCATATGGTCAGGGCATCTAGGCCTTTTTCAGTTCCTTTAAGACCTTATAAGGGAGTGGTTCCCACTGAGGTTTGTCCCATTCATCATCAAAAGTCACTGGAAAACATTTAAAGGTTAAATCCCCATCTCGCAAGGACTCCTGTATTGCTCCCTTAAAGTCAATATTCTTAATAGGTGGCAAGGGTTTTTTACAAACTAAGGCCTTGTTCTGTGGAACTTTTAACTGTCTATGTAGATTAATCACAGAGCTGCATTTAGGGGCTGTGGCATTTGCAAAAAGTTCCCAATCTTGTTCATGATATTTAGCAGCCTCCTCATCAAGGGCTACCTCATCTTTGGAGGACAATTGATCATCTCTCCCTTCAACTCTTTTATTATCTTTGTCCTCATCCTCTGATTTCATTTCATTTATTGCCAGTACTTGAGAGGCTGATTTTTGTAAT